ATCCCCATTCCCCTCTTTACACACACTTAATAAACACACTTATTATAATTTACACACACATATTATAATTTTGTTAAACACTTATTAGTAATTTCACTTGAATAAACACTTACTATAATTTTACACACACACTCATTACACACACTTATTATAATTTTACACACACTCTCATTAATTTAGAAAATCTCTCCATCCTTGGCAAAACATCTAAGTGTTTGCACTCCTTTAATTCAACCCCCTGAGGGGAATTGAACCTATGGCCTCCTTGGGACTAAGCCTTAAGGAAGATATGCTGGCCAACTAGGATAGGCCTAGTTGGTTTAGATACACCTTACTTAAATGTATTTAAAAAATAAAATATTTGTAAAAAAATATTTTAAAAAATTAATAAATACACAAAAATACAAAAAAATATATTAAATTTTTGTATTTTTTTGTATTTTTTGTATTTAGTGAATTTTTTTTAAAGTTTTGTTCACAAATTTTGTATTTTTTAGTTATCTAGATTAAGTGAATCTAAAATGTAAAATAAATAAATAAATGAATATACTGTTTTTGAAAACTCCAAAACCATCTGTCAAATTTCTGTTTCGAAACACTTGTCTGCTCGATAGTTTTGTTTTTGTAGTGTATAATAATTGCCAAAAAATGTAATTTTTAATTATATGTGAATGTTTAGATTTGTTTGGTAATGGGTTTATGAGGTTTAGGCTTATTTTATGGCTTATTTCAGATCTGGGACGCTGTCAAGGGCCATGTCCAGACTGAGTTTTCTGATATGGTGTCGACTGGTGGAAGTGGAACTAATTTATTTGGTAAACCAGAAAGGGGTCACCTTTCGGTTGATTATACTTGCATGAAGTGGCTGTCTTTAGACAAAAAGGTTTAATTTTTTTCCACATAAGATTATAATGTGGACTAGTTTTTTATGCCATTGTTAGAAATCATTAATTATTTCGGTAGTACATTTCCGAACAAAATAACAAAATTCGGCTCTGGTTATCCGAACGACGCTGCGAAAAAAAAAATAAATTAAACTCACATTTCTTTCGCTCTGCTTCACATGAATACTTATTTGCTGATTTTCAGAAGGCAAATCCTCCATCACAATGATGTTTTCCCTATAGAAATGCCAAAGCCCTTTGTAAAAAATGAAAACCCTACAGAAATGCCAAAGCCATTTTCAAAGAAGCATGCCAAACCAGTGGCTTACACACACGATGCAACAATGTGAACTCTGAGGTGTGCATTGACATGTTTTCAATTAACAATGGTGTCTAAAATGATAATTTCACTTAGGGATAAAATTATAATAAAATTAAATATCATTAAGTGTGTGTATTGAGGGAATTAGGTGTGCGTATATAGAAGCTCCCCCAAACCACTCTAGTTTCAAATTTACTCCTAACTAAAAGTCTAAAATGCCCATCAGTTTTGCCGTTAACTACAAACACACCCCTGCGAAACAAAGAAGCGCCCTAAACCCCCCAAGCCGAGCAGGGTAACAGAGCTCAACTCATAAGCTTCTCTCTCCACCGCCGCCGTTCGCCACCGTCTCCGGTAACCCCCAACTTCCAAACATATATATATATATATACATATATGTATGAATTTCATGTACTCTTACACACACACACACACACACACACACACGCACACGCACATATATTGAAATATGAATTTGCAAAATTTTAGTTTCAGGATTGAAATGGGCTCCTCAAATATCAGAGACATCTTGACTTCGTTCAGTCCTTCTTCGGATTTCTTCGCTATCAGTTCCGGAGATGGTCGAATTAAGGTACCTAATTTTTATTTTATTTTATTTTATTTTATTTTCCCCCCCTCTTCTTCCTGGAGGCTGAGAAATCAGAATGCAAGTTTCAAGCGGAAAAAAATGTTAATTTCGGTTTAAATATGTTTGGTTTTGAGTTTTTAATAATAGTTTTTGATTTTTTTTTTTTAAAATTTTTTTTTTTCGTATTTTGTTGTTATTAGTGATTCTTTCTTCTTCATAGTTTAGCCATATATATATTTTTTTAAATACACCTAATCTAAATGTGTTAAAAATTAAAATATTGGTGAAGAAATCTAAAAAGAACACCAAAAAAAAAAAAAAAAAACAAAGTACTGAATTTTGTAATATTTTGTATTTAGTGAATTTTTTTTAAAGTTTTGTTCACAAATTTTGTATTTTTTAGTTATCTAGATTAAGTGAATCTAAAATGTAAAATAAATAAATAAATGAATATACTGTTTTTGAAAACTCCAAAACCATCTGTCAAATTTCTGTTTCGAAACACTTGTCTGCTCGATAGTTTTGTTTTTGTAGTGTATAATAATTGCCAAAAAATGTAATTTTTAATTATATGTGAATGTTTAGATTTGTTTGGTAATGGGTTTATGAGGTTTAGGCTTATTTTATGGCTTATTTCAGATCTGGGACACTGTCAAGGGCCATGTCCAGACTGAGTTTTCTGATATCGTGTCGACTGGTGGAAGTGGAACTAATTTATTTGGTAAACCAGAAAGGGGTCACCTTTCGGTTGATTATACTTGCATGAAGTGGCTGTCTTTAGACAAAAAGGTTTAATTTTTTTCCACATAAGATTATAATGTGGACTAGTTTTTTATGCCATTGTTAGAAATCATTACTAGTATTATGTTTTTGTGAGTGAAATTGTTGATGATGTTTAGAAAAAAAGGAAGATTGGAAGTTCATTGTTGGTGTTGGGGACCGGCAGTGGCGACGTTCTAGCACTGGATGCATCAGCTGGTCAATTGAAGTGGAGAGTTAGTGATTGCCATCCCGGGTGCGTTTCTTTTGCTATAAGTGTTATACTTTCATGGCTGTCACAATCTTTTTAGGGAAATCTTTCTTCTCATGATTCACATGTGGGACTCTTCTGATTATGTTGTGAGAAACATTCTTTGTTTGTTTCATGCTTTACAATTTTTTGATTGCCTTTGCTTTCTCAATGTTGTAGCTGATTAATGGTTCTTCAATTTGTCAATATTGTAAATTCCATGAATTTAGTAGGGAAATTACTGGCCTCATTAGGTTAAAAATTTCAGCCTTCCAGTATATAATTGTCTCCCATTCGTATGAGTACCTTTTATTTGTTGTAGTTGCCTTGCACATCCACACCATGAAACACATTGAGCTTGCTTACTGCTTTTCATTTTCATTTGAAGTTTGGATATGTACAGTGCATCCAAAACTTCTAAGAAAATTGGAGAAGCTGAAACTTCATGATATTACCAGAAAAGTACTTCATTGTGTGCTAAGAATGTCAGACTGTGACGGATTTTGTAACAACAAACTATTTACTGCATGGATGATATGACCATAAGATCTGCTGGATTAGATTGCAACATGCATATTTGAGTGGTCTAACCATGATATTCCTTTAATTCAATATGCAGGGGTGTTAGTGCCATTTCATTTCCAACACACGATTCATGCATTTACACGGCGGGTGTGGATGGCATAATTTGCAAACTAGATTCCATGTCAGGAAACTTGTTAGAGAAGTTCAGAGCTGCTACGAAGGCAATATCTTCTATGTCTGTTTCATCAGGTTTGTACAGTTACCATTGCTTTATTTTCATAGAGAAGCAACCAACTACTCTGCATTTGATCAAAGTTATATTAGTATATATATTACAAATATGAATGAGACCTAGCTTTGTGTTCGAGACATGGCATTGCTTTATTATTTATGCGATCAAGTACCCCTTTTTACTAATTTTCAATCCACCCGTAAAATGAAAGATACTACGGCTATATTCAGTAGTTTTGAAATTATTGATAAGCAATTTTTTAAGGTTGGCTGTGTCATATTGACATATGGATCTTGTTTGATACGCATAAACTGAGCTGTGTTTGTGCTGTCTAAGTCAGATGGGAAGACAATAGCAACTGCGGCTGCTCAGCTGAAGGTTTTCAATTGTTCAGATCATACAAAGATACAGAAGTTTTCAGGCCATCCTGTGAGTGTTTTGTTGCTTCCATTGTATTTTCTAAGTTGAGATGATACCTCATCTGTCTCATTAATTATCCAATACAGTAACAAATGGAAATATATCATCGTTGGTTTTCTTCTTCTGCTTTCTGTTGTCAGTTATATAATATTTTTCTAACTGGTTAATAGGGGGCTGTCCGTTGTATGATCTTCACCGATGATGGGAAATACATTCTTTCTTCTGCTGTTGCTGAACGTTACGTTGCAGTTTGGAAACTAGACGGTGGCAAAAAGCAATCATCCTGTTGTGTTCTTACAATGGACCACCCTGCTGTTTTTCTGGATTGCAGACATATTGATGATGGGGATGTAGATGCTTCAGGTTTCTATGTTTTGGCCATCTCGGAAATTGGTATTTGCTATTTTTGGTATGGAAAGAATATTGAGGAATTACGCAATACCAAGCCAACGAAGGTCTCCTTGTCTCTTGATGGCCAGTTCTCTAAGAGTCATAAGGGTGCAGTAACTACTATATTTGCTGCAAAATTACAAGGCATCGCCAAACCTGCCTCTGGGCACATATTTTTGGCCCATGGTTTGCTAATAAAGCCATCATTTGAGAAAATCTTAGTGCATTCTGGCACAGACATAAGATTAAACAGTTCCTCGGATGGACTCCTTCTCCCAATCAGTCAGTCTCGCAAGTCTAAAAAAGGGTCAAATGCACATAATGAAGGTAACCAATGATTGATCATAGCTTTCATGTCAAACATGTTTTATTTTGCTAATCATGCACGCTACACTCTTTGGAAAGCTGGGTTCTTGGAATATTGCCCCCATCCTTGCTTTTGATCTTCATATTACTTGTATGACATTGATGCATCCATTTGTATGGCAATAATGGGGGTGTTTGTTTGGGCTTTTTTGAGCCAACTTATGACTTTTGGCTTCTGAAAAGTTATTTTGGACTGTTTGGTTAAATTTATTTCAAACAGTTTATGATTCTAATAACTTATTTTAAGTCAAAAAAGCTAATTATGAGAAGCTGCTCACCCCTTACTTCTGATTATCAGTTTCTACTGTAGACATATTAATTTACGTTTATACTCTTAGATTTTTTTTTAAATTTTTTTTTAAAAATAGAAAAAGACCCAAATAGACTATAGAATATTATTATTATTTTTTATGAGAAATGTAGACAAGCAGTGAATAACAAAAAATAAAAGTTAATTGAAAAAGTTAATTCACAGCGTATTTAACAAACACTACTCCGCAACTTAAATCTACCAAACAGATTAACAACTTCTGATTAAAGTCATAATCTATAATCTGTTAAGTTATAATCTATAATTTGTTTTAACAGCTATACCAAACGGGACCAATTTCTTTTGTTTCAAGGACCTCGATTTCACAAGTTGGGTCTGGATTTGTGTTGAGGTGGTAAGTTCATTTAATTCTCAAATATGACAAAGGGATGCAAATTGTCTTGTTATGCTTATTTTCCATCCTAGCTAGAGAGATGTTTCTTTGTTATATGGTGCGATTGCGTCCAAAGTGGCATGATGAATATCCATTCAGAGAGGTGTCAGCCCTGCCTGTATAGGTCATTCATCACTTACCACTAATGGGGGGGGGGGACTGGATGTACATGCCTCACCTGTTCATACCAGTGCTTATATCATGTGATGTCTGAGATGGCCATCTAATGCATTTTCAACTGTCTTTTTGGCACAGAATATTCTATTGTGCTCTAATTTGACATTTCCCACCATTTGTTATAATTCTAAAAATTTGCCCAAATGGTCCAATTTTGTTCTTTGACACTGGGGATCCTTTGGGCGGGAGCTAGCAGCTTCTTCCAATTTCTTCAAGATTTTTTTTTGTTAGTAATAATAATTTGATGCCTAGGGTTGGTTATCTGAATGTATTTCATATTTGACTTCGTAATAATTTCTGAACTTCTATCATATGCTTTCATGAATTCTTCTAACATATACTTGGATGTCATTCTTCTTGTTTTTCGTCTCCTCTTACTCCTTTTTATGCATTTTTTATGTGTAAATATTTTTTCAATTGCATTCTGAATCTTGTGTGGATCATTGATGACAATTTTAATTGTGAACAGTTAGTGCACTAGACCGTGCAAATGCAGAAGATGCTCTACTTCCAATTCCTAAGATTCTTGATTTTCATGACAAAAAGAAAAGACATCAAAATTCAAGTGTTGTCCCAGATGAGGTGATGGTTGATAATTTGGTCGACAGCCAGAGGCGAGCTCAGGCAAAGAGAGGTGTGCCTAAATTTCTTTCTGAAAAGTTGCCAACTTTTAATTTCTGTTGTATAGTATGACCTCTTTTATGTCATTATTGTTGTCATTGATTACTCAATTGATTCCATGAAGATAGAAAAATTGTTTTCTTGGACATTTGAGTAGATAGTTTTTTTGATAGTGTAATTAGTATATTGCTCACATGACGCTATTTCCTTCATTATGTTTTTTCAGATGCATGAGTATAAGGATAATGACATCTTTCATTATTGGGTTGTAACTCATATAATTCTATGCATAATGATCTATGTTTTATAGGACTTGGGTACAGGAGTTGGGTGTGGTTATGTGTTTATGTCTTATTCATCTAATTCCCATGTCCGAGGACACAGGGACAAAGCAAAATATTCATTTTTCTTAATACAATAGAATGTGTTCACAGGGTACTTTTTAATGGCATATGCATATAATATGATGCAACTTAAGTGATTACCTTTTGCTTTCTGGTTTTTCTAGAGGGGGATACCATATGTCTTTTATCTCCAGATTTGAATCTTTAATAATTAAATTTTTTTTTTCTGTTGATGCTGTTTAATCGGCTCCTCTCTTTTACAGTTTTCCTTCCTGTAAAATCATTATCAACCTTGTTTCCTGTAAGTACTTTGTTTGTAGCATCAACTTTTTTTAATCTAGTGGTAGTGCAAAAGGTTTTGTGTCAATTTGTCTGTTTCAAGGGTATACTTTTTCATTAAAATTTATACGGTAGCTATGATGACATTGGTGGTTTTCTCTCTTTTATTTGGTTGTGCTATTTAATAATAGTAAGAATATTTATTGTTATTTGTTGCTGTTGCAGTCGTTTTTCTTTGTTACGATCTTCGTATGTTTGTGCTGCTTTATATCTCTTATTAAAGATTTAATGTTTGAGAAGAAGCATTTATGAGTATTTTGCTCGGTTGTGTTGGTCTGTGCAGATGACATGGGTGATGTTGAAGACACTCCTACTATTTGCATGGAGGACCGGTTAAGGACCTTAGGTATACTAGGTAATAAGGATGATCATACACCAATTGATTCTACAAAGTTGAGGGGCATCAATATTGAAGTTAATCTGCCACAAAAGAAGGTTTGTTTTTCTTGCCTTGGTGGGAGCACAATATATTTCTTAACTATTGCAGTTGATTCTCATTTCGATTGTTCTCTTGTTCTTCCTTTTTGAAAGTTTTTTTTTTTTTTTCCTATTAGTTACTTGTGTCCTTTTTTTCAACCCTGTTCCAATGATATATTTTCTTCACCAGATGAGGGCAGCTATTTTATCCATGGTACCTAGTGATGCTTACAAGTTATTGGAAGTCTTGTTGGCCAAGTGGCAGTCAAGGTGCATTCCTCCATCCTGTCATTGGGATTTGTTTTTTCATGTATAACTTGTACTAACAGCTAGCAAACAATGGGCATGATGACCCCCATTGGAAACGTAAATTTTAGCATCAGGTCCTGCCAAAGAAAGATCTGCCTTTATTTTGTTGCATAAAAATTGACATGTTGCTTTATTATCAGAACAATTTCAGTTTCTTTTTTCATGGGGACGTCAGTGGGAAGTAGTCATAAATACTCTTAAACAAAAATTTCTTTTCAGGAAGCTTTTTTGTTATTATAAACTAAATATTCATATTTTTGGCATTTAATGCTTCTTTTTTTTTTGAAAATTTTATTTGACAGATCATGCAGCGGAAAGTATGTTCTTCCCTGGATTTATTGTATATTGGTAAATCACAGTGATTACATCATATCTCAAGAACCAGTGACCCAATTACTGGAAACCTTAAACAAGGTATAATATTGTGAAAAGAAAAGTTGTCTTTTGTTTCATTCTCTGTGTCACTCTTTTTGCAACAATATTTTGGCACTTCGTGTTAGATGTTGATATCGACTTATTCAGTCTTCTTGCAATTATCGTTTCATTTAGTTCTGCCAGCAATGCTTGCAAGTTTGTTTATTTATTTAATTAATTTTTTTATTTTTATATATTTGCAATGGATTTTCATGTCTTCTCTATTCATCATGATACAAATATGTATGCATACAACAGATTTCACTAGAGCCTGCATATATTCACTGAAACATAATGCTTGCACTTTACTGACTCCATTTGAGATTCATTATTCATTCCTTTGTCGGACCTTAACCATGTTGCTTTCTTCCAGCTTACCAAGTCCAAAGAGGCGTCTATTCAGTCTTTATTGCAGTTATCAGGTCGTTTGCAACTAGTAACAGCACAGGTTAATTTCTGCACATGTCAAAAGACTTTGTTCTGCAAACATGCTTGAATTTTTAGATTAAAAATATTTTGGTATTGATTCTGTTTTATTTTTCTTTTACCAGATTGATAAGGCTGCTCAGAATGAAGGTAATAGCTTTCTGCATGATCGCCAGATGGATGAAAGTGAAGATGACGACGATGATGTTGATGAATTTCTCTATGGTGAAGAAGATAAAGAATCCCAAAGCAGTAGTGAGGATGAAGACTAGATTTTTTCTTCCGCAGGAGGTGATGATTTCTGGGAAATCCCATTCTTTTGCACATTCTGCCGACAGAAAGATTAGGGGTTATATGGTGTGCATGTGATCCTATCCCCATGACCACATGCTATGGACGTCACAGTTATGAATATAAAATTTGATATTTTAAAATTCTTGCTATGTTCTGCTTAGAAGAATACACACTTTTAATGATAGGTTGGCAAAAATCTAAGGATGTCATCCTGTTTCATTCAATTGGTCTTGCTGACTAAATCGTTGGAAAATTGAATATGTTTGGTAAATCATACAAATCTAGTGATCTTTATTGTTTTAATACTGTATTTTGGTATGATAGTTTGTTACAATCAAATGGGTCATTTGGATATGGCTTTGTTTGTTCAGCTGTGGTAGCTACTACTCTTCATACAATTTTTTGACGTTTGATTGTGTATATCTAGACTTCAATGGTTTATTGTTTGACTTCCACTACAGGTTTCATTTGCATGGCCTGGGCCTCACCCAGTGGATTCTTAGTAGGATTGATGTGGTGGGATCGTGGGACATATCTGTTACTTTTGTCGCAAACTATCGAATTAATCCTTTGGTGCTGTATTCTGGTAACTATGACAAATTTTCTATTTTTTGTCACTGCGCATGATGGTCCATCCCTGCTTACGTCGCCCACAATTTTGTCTCATTTTCATTTAAATCCTTGCTCATAGGACAGGTTTCTTAAATCTCTCTTTTTTTTTTTGGTGATTTTTTATTCACAGCAATCTCCTTTTTCCTTCCCTCTCTGGTTCTTGTAATATTTTCTTAGCAACATTGGTTTACAAGAGATTTATGGTAGCTTATAAAATACAAGTGTTTATGTCGAGGAATATTGTAATGGATATATTAGAGAGATGCTGTTTGGGAAACTTTATATTAATCTTTTTGCCCCCCTTTGTGTGTGTGTGTGTGTGGTTTTTATCTAATGTTTAGTTGTATGAATGTGTTTGTAGAATAAAAACAGCTTTATATGATTTCTTCAACCCCACAGAAGTGAAATTTAACATAATTTTTTCTACACTTTACAAGCTAAGAATCTGATTCTTCACTCTTCATTCTCACATGCTTATTTGAAAATTTTTATTGCCACTTATTCTATTCCCTCTACACTACTCTACACGCATTTGGATTTTCATCGCTGAACATTGAACTGATATTGCCATTGCCATTGTTGTTGTTGTGATAGTCATCACTGCAATGTTCTGCTCTAGCATAATGCGTGTATTGTGGTGGTGACCGTATATATTCGTACTCGGTGACATGAGCCAATGGCTTGTATGCATCGTAGCTGTGTGTGACAGATGGTGATGGCTTGTATGTGTTGTAGCTGTGACTCACATAGACCTGTGGGGACGGCTCTTGTTGAAATCTTGGGCCATTTGGGTAATTGTTCCATTGTTCGACATAGCTATGGCCCAAGCCATATCTGTAACCATAGTCAGGTGGGTGGTGGTATATTACATGATCCTCTTTGACATCTTTTGGCCCAGAGGGTTGTTCTGGCTTGCCTGCCGAGTTGTCATTAGCAGCAGGTCGTGGATTTTCAGGTGGTGGTGGGTCTTTAGGCTGCTCTGCTGGCGGTGCCACTGCTTCGGCAGTGGAGCTTCCGCCGGAGCTGGTGCTTGCTGCTCTGTTGGTTGATCCAGTGGTGGCTCTGTTGGCTGAGCCCGTGGTGGGTCTGATGGTGGTTCTGAATGAGAACAAATGGTGGCCATTTTTCGCGCCTTCTTAATGGCTTTGACTGTTTGTTCAGGATGTGCCCACCCGATTATTGTCAACTTCTGTTGAGGGAAGTCGATGTAGAGATCATAAATACCTGTAGAAAATTTTGATCAATGGTCACTACTACTCAGACTCAATAGAATTTGATCAATACGGGTCATTCATCACTTACCACTAATGCCATGTAGGGCCTTCTTGATCTTTTGGACACAACCGTTGCAGTCTATCCAGACCTGTATCTCGGTGACCCGAGGTTTCTGCAAAGTTAAAATTGAATGGTTAGAAAATGTTTTCTTGTGAAGAACACAAAGAATAATGCTATGCTATCATAGTTTGCTACATGCTATGTCCAAATGACATGTGGGTTTTGATGTGTACCTCTGACTCTGGAACCATGAATGAAGGAAAGGAGGGAAAATGGAGAGATCTAGAATGTGATTTGTATGGGATGGAGAGACAGGGTAGAGTGTAAATGGAGAATCAATACATGACAATCACTTGTACATGGGGAGGGAATATTTAAAAGGGAGAAGGGGTGTGGCAATGCAAGGAATCTCTCTAGGGAGAGATCTAGAGAGGTATTGATTTTGTTTTTCATTTTCTATTTTTATTTTTTGAAAAATGCAAAAAGAAAAAAATATATGTTGAACAATTTTCGAAGGTTAGTTTTGGAAATATTTTCTAAAAGTAACTCATTTTTTAAGAAACACTAAAAAATTATTTTCAAAAATAAATTTTCCATGGAAAAATGACGAATATTTTCACACTTTTCATTATTTTTAAATCTGAAAACTTGAAAAATGAAATACAGAAATTGAAGAGACTAACTACGGAATTTTGATGATGAAAAACAAAAAGAGAGGGAAGAAATCAAACCAAACATTAGTTTCGAAAAATAATTTTGAGATTAAATCATTGAGAGTAACATGTCCATACACAACATATAGTAGAGTTCGTCATTAAAAAGACTATTTTACACGTCATTCCACATGTATTTTCTTCTAATTTGTTATGCATTTGTTAAACTAGAAAAATGTCAAGTACCCAGAGTTTATCTTCGAAAATTATTCCGAAAATGAGGTGTAAGTTGGTGTGATGGTGGATGTCCATCTATAATTGGGGGTGGTGTGTGCAGAGTTGGGATATCTAAAGCAGACCAAGAAAATGAAATAAAAGTGAGAAAACTCAGAACAGAGGATATAAATCATTCACTACACTACAAGAAAACTGGGTATATGAGACGGAACTATTTGCGACGGCACACTTGCCGTCTCAAAAAGTCACTTTTTGTGACGGCAGAAAATGCCGTCTCAAAAAAGCAGAGTATCTAAAGCAGACCAAGAAAATGAAATAAAAGTGAGAAAACTCAGAACAGAGGATATAAATCATTCATTCATGGCTCACTGGTCAACACCACTATAGCTTTATAAGGATATGCATATGCACTCTTCAGGAATCCTTTCCTTGCACGAAAGAGATAAATGAAAAAAAAAAAAAAAAAAAAAAAAAAAATATAAGGGGTACTTACGTGTAGGTCTTAATAAGTAAATTTATTATCTAATAAGTCTTACGAGAAAAATTTATTATAAAAAAAAATCACTAATTGTAAGTTTTAACGACAATTTATAAAAATCATTATAAAAAAAAGTCATTAATTATCAATTTTTAGAGACACATATAAAAAATTGTTACAAAAAAAAATATTTTTAGCGACAATTTTATCAAGATTTATTTTTAATAGGATTTGATGAAAATTAAGTCCAACTATTAGGACCTATTGATAGTTTACCTGCTGATTTTTTGGCTTTCGAAGGTTAATATTGTAATTTTAAGCATGCCAGTAAGAATCAATCAGTCATTACAGATGATTAATTGCCAATCAATTATCAGACGATTGTGTTTTAGTTATTTCAGCCTTAATAAAGAAGACTTTTACTGGTGACTTGTTTAGGAGAATTTAGTAAATAACAATTAAGTAAAAAATAATTTCAGAATTTCATTAAGTAAAATGAAAAACTTACAATGATTTGACCCAGTCTCGTAGAGGTTTACAACAACAAGCTATTTGAAACTACTCCTAGGAATGAAGTGCAGTACAAGAATTGAAGTGCAGAAATGTAAGGAACTGTAAAAACTGGAAAGGAAAACAAAGTAAATAAACTGGTTTTTTTATCTGAGTTTGGATCCTTCATTCTGGGGCCTTTTCTGCCATGATTGCTGAACATGCTCTCTCACAGTCAGTCCCATTATGCCACATTTGCAGTTAGGCTTCCCTCATGTTTTTGAATTTGAATTTTGTGAGTAACCGTTAGGCCACATCACCTTATATCCCTCGATTGTTCCAGTGCTACGCAGATCCATTATTATCAATACGGGTTAACACGTGTATGACTTTGGTTGGCAACTTGTATTAACTCCCTAAATTTCCCTCTTCATGCCACATGTCAAATTGTGATTGGCTTTTACAAATTATACAGCCAGCATTACCCCCTACTAATATACCCAATACTTGGTGATATTAGTAGATCAAAGCACTTTACCCACGTCTTAGGACGTGTATGGGCTTTGCATCTTCTTAGAAATGCAACCGACGTCCATCATTGCAATGTTTGTACTACATTAAATTCTCTTCTACGCCTTGAACATTTCCCACTATCTAAGCGTTCGAAAAGGCTGATACAGTCTTCATGGCCAAGCAAACCTTTTCTTACATTGATCGAGCATATGAGGAGTCTATGGAAGCTGATTATAAGCCTCAAAAAAATCTCAATGCATTTATTGATTACACCTATCCGCCTCCATTTATGCAAGTTATGGAAGCTTTTGCAACGTACTAACCTTTAGACCCAAAGCTTGCCAATTATGAACCCTTGGATCAAGCATTTGCAAAAATGGATCTTAGAAACTCTTCTTCTGCCTCACCATCTTCTGTATGGGACACAGCTATTTCTTCCTCTACCCCACTAACTTCTACATGGGACACAACTGCTCCTTCTTTCTCCAGGTCTACTGGCTGAGGAAGCTAGCCAGAACCTGATGAATCCAAACTATGAGAGCGAATTCACCATCAATTCGTCGAATTCGCTAATCCTTTGTCTATCCCTTCTTTTGCTTGGAGCTCGGTGGTTTACCCCTATGTATCCATCGATCGCCGATGCAGTCTGGAGGACAACTTACTTGTAGCATGGTACACGTCTTCCATGCTTACGAAGATAGTGCGAGCAACTCCTCGTCCAGAGGAAGCACAAGGATACAATCCGTCATTCTTAGCCAAGAAATCAAAATTTTGCTCTTCTGACTGGCTTGAATGTGTGAATAACCCCCAGTTCCCTTCTTCCTTTGGGATGGACCCACATGCGCCTCCTCTTCCTCAGAATCCTCACTGGATGGAGGAACTGAAACTTACTCTCTTCGAGAATCAGTTTCTTCCTTCCTACCAACCTCCAGATCTTCCCACTACATTTGAGCGATACCATGCTCAACTTTTGCTTGTAGCCTTTTCTCACTTGCCCTTCAATGTTTTGGGAGATGATATTCTTCTTAGGAACTTTCGATGGGCCTGTGACATTATGACTCGGGGTCATGTCCTCAATCCCGTTGCCCAAGCAGAACTCCAGATGTTTTTGGATTAACTCCCGCTTCTTCTTTATTGGTACCAAATTTTTTTTGTCATGACCCCATTCCGTCCCTAGTAGAATGGTATCATGATTGTAACGCCCTCAAAATAATAACATTAAACCCATCAAATAAGACATGCATTGACATATGAACTAGCCACATTCTTTTATTCATTAGAGTCTCATTACATAAGTATTACATGTTAACATCAAAACAAAATGCCCTACGGGCTTACAGCTTTCCAAGTTAACACCCGGGATCGCTATAATGATGGCCAGTAATCCAAGATTACCAAAGGCCAACTTACAAAAATTCACACAATCAGAGTATACATATGGGGCTTACATGTGTGGAAGCAAATTTAAATCAAAGTAGTCCATAAGAGCTGTGCATAGATCAAATGAAATGTCATATATCTTAACATGGTTTTACATCATGGATACAAATGAATTAAGCCTAAACATTATATCTTGATCAAAAGGCTTCTCAAGCCGAAATATACAAAAGAAATGAACCAAAAGCTAAGAAGCGTAA